AAATGTGATAAACATGTTTTAAATGTCTTTTTCAATAAATTTCAGTCCATTAATATACCATGTTTTTCAGGGGCATTGATTCAATCTATTATTACATTAATTACATAGAAAACCCCCCTTTAAAAAAAAACCTCTTATATATTTGTATGATCTTGGGAAATCTTGGGAAATTTGTTCACCAAATCTTGGGAAATTTGAAAAAAGTGAGTGGCAGCCCTGGTCATCCATGATGTTTCCGGGTTTAGTATGGTATATGATGGTTTACGGTGAAACGACCAAACCAGCAAATGTTTTTTTAAGTTCGAAACACTATTAATTTTGAGTTTGCGAGTAGAAACAATGAAATATGTATATCAAGGAAATACAGTGTTTTTTAATTACTACTAGGTATAATTGTAACACTTGTTATTAAGTGGATACACATTTTGTTACAAAATAAAATTAAAATGAGCACACCTGATACAAGAGTTTTCTGGTGGTTGTCTTCGACGTTTTTGAAAACTTTGATTTTGATATCACTTCTTGTTTATTGTAAAGGTGAGTATTCAAATAAAAGTTAACAATACACTTTTACTATATGGCGTTATTCGTATCAATGTAGATTACACAAATAAATAAAAAATTAGACATTAGTCATTAGTCTAAGTCTAGCCTAAAACGAAAATGAAAAGATTGTTTTAGTTTAGTTTAGACTTTTGTTGTTTGATTCAGAATTGAATTGAAGAATTTGTGTCATGCTTAGTTTAGTAGCCTACTTACTTGTAATATTGTAATGACAGTAATGTCTTACCCTTAGACAAAATAAGATAATATCAATTATTATTAATTACTACGTACCCACCTGATCACCTTTGTTAACTACAGAAGTCCAATACTTAAACTTACTTTATTTAAGCAGGCATGGCATAGCTAGTGAGCTACTACTACTACTCTTTTTTTACTTTCTTTTACTGTTTTTGAGTACTTTGTCTCAATTCAAATGTCACAATTTCTAATTAGACTGCAGACAATCCACAAGGCAGAGCAGGCAACACATTAGGATTGTTTCTAAAAAAACTATTATATTAATCTTTTGTTTCCCTGAAAATAAGACTATTTCTAATACGTGAACCAATTATCGGTTGATTTTCACAAACTGGTTTTCAAATTATTTTTATCGTGATATAAAAACAAAGAGAGGAAAAAATTTAGAGTGTTAAAAATGTATAATACAATAGTAAAAGTATTTTTGTTATTATATTTATATAATAAATTACATTGCTTTATAATGCATAACATTACATTGGCGATCTGTATCGGTATCAGTTAAAAACCGGATGTGACTGGAGTTTTTTATTGGGGAAAAATAGTTGTCATTGTTTTTGTTAGCATCTATTGTGCAAAGAGACAGCATAAAGAAAAATTTGCTATTTAGCTAAGTCACTTTGACACAAAATTTAAATATTGTCAGATTATCAAGAATGATACATCATTTTAAAGGACTAGCTATAAGCTTTACAACAACACCAATTTCATCTTTCTATCTTTTATAGAAGTGGAGTTATGATTTTTTTGGCGATTTTTTAAACCCCCTTCTTTATCTTAGTATTTAACTAAAAAAACGTGTGACCCACTTTCCAAATTTCTGCCTTATTTTGCCCAAAACTTTTGGATTTTGAAAGATAATGCTACCAAATTTTCAGGAGACATTCTCAATGCAATATACAACCCAATAAGCAACAAAACTTTTACATAACATCAAGACTTTTATTTTTTTAAATAATTATTTGTGGGTATGTTCAGAAAAAAGTGAACAGAAAAATTGGGAAAATCATCATTTATACAGGAAAAAACGAAAAAATAACATGTTTATTGAATTTTAACTAATTTTATTATGCTTGTTTTACATTTTAAATCAATTATTATATTTATAAAAAGGTAAGTAGTCTTTTTTTATATATATAAATTGGAACGCATGTAATTATAAATAAAAATTACTCAAAATCATCTATGATGATGAGACTAATTTATTAAAAAATGTTATTTGATATATTAAATAATTGTCTATGTACTGCTTTTCTATGTTCTAATAAAAATATAATTACAACGATGATGTTGTTTGATTCTTGTTTATTAATTTGATGTATTTTAATAAAACTGTTATATATAGGCTTAACTAAAAAATATATTATTAGTAAGTGTGGTTGTTGATTGTCGTAGTACTAGTAATAGAATTATGATTATGAAAAATTAAGCTTAGGCAGGATTATAATAACAGTTGTTTATAATTATAACTGATATATCGGCCTAATTTTAGTAATATTCTCTGAAATAATTATTAAGAGAAAAACGATTATTATTATTGACATTACTATTATAACACTATTAAATTTAAATATTGATTCAATAATTATGAAGAACGATAAACTGTCTACCGGTACCGTACACAATTTTTAACGTAATAAATAAAACTTAAAACCAACCCTTGGTTACTACATAATTAAACTTTGGTTATAATCTTTTCTTAAAATTATTCATTTTAAACGTCTTATCATTATTTAGCTGTTTAAGGATTTAACATTAACGAATCACAGTGATAGCAGCCATTTCCGGCTTCTTGATCAAAATAAAAAAATGACAATTTTGTACCCCCACTCCTTCGTGGGATGCATAACTTTTTATAGACAAAGTCAAGATAATAACTCAAATAATGAAAAAACTCTTAAAATGAATGTAGATTGGGTATCACTAAACCTTATTTTGGTTGCTTAACTAGTAAAAAAGTATATTATACGATTTATATACTAACCGAGTCATTATAATAATACTGTCCGGGATACACAAAAAATCTAGTGGCATGAATCAATATATCACCGGAACACAAAAACTGATACGTCACTGATGAGGAAAGCATTATTTAATAAACAAAGGCTACGTAGTATGCAATTTTCCAAAGATACCGTGTAGCCGTACGCCATATTGTAGAACACATTTTATCGACATTTTAGGACATGCGCAGAACGGTGCGTGAACAAGTATTGTTATCCCTAGCTAAGTACATGAAGTGAACAGTAAACCCCCCCCCCTCCTCCCCCCCTCCAAAAAAACTTCCTGAGGTTCCATACTCCCTTGGATGCTGCTACCTTACAAAATGTCTTGTCCATCTTACATGGCTATGAGGAACACTTTGCAAAGCATTTCAAATAGGTGTCAAGTTCTGGGGGAAAAGTGTGGGGGAACATAACCAAGACATCCCCCCCCCCCCACTAAAAGCTGATTAATCAGCAATTAACGATAATTTGCCAATTAATGGTGCAACCCTAGTTGTTATTATTTGACAACGCATAGTATAAGTTATATTATTAAAATCGATGGTATGTATACATATCATTTTTATCATTCTTTTTCAGTATTAGGTTTAGAGATTGACATTGGAAAAGATCCTCTATATACACACTGCATTTCAAGTAATGAACCTCTTCAACTATTAAATCCTTTTTTGGAAGAGCTTGGTTCTAATTATGAAGCTGCTTACAATAATCCGAACTTCATCTCTATGGAATGGGCCATTCGTAAACCAGGGCAAGGCGATGTAGATATCTTACGTATTACAAGAGAACCTGAAGTATTGAAACCTGGATATACAGTATATAAATTGTGGAGCTTGCAGGTGAGGCCCTGGTTCTTTAATTCTTAGGGTTCTTATGATTATGAGTTAATAAAAAAAATTATTCTTATATAGCAGAAGAAAATAGCAATTATTATTATTGTATAAAACATTTTGCTTATTACAGAAATAGAGGTTGATAGGCTATTTTTTTGTTTTTGAAAATTCATAATAGCTGTGGTTTGACATGCACAACTATTGTCTGGTTGTTATATTTTTTTCCTGAACAAATTGTCAATATGTTTCCATTATCCTCGAAGAATAATGCTAATTTTTAGTCTTTCATTCTATAATTTCTATTACTTAGATTAATAATGTTGAGGCTGATGACACAGCAACGTACATTGCAAGACTGACTGTGGTTGGTCCCAAAAAGATTATAAATTTTAATTTTACTGTTGCAAGTGAGTAGCACTACTTTCTCACATATTTCCTTTTACTAATTAAATTTACAAGAAAAGTGCTGGTAATAAAATTAAATCTAATTTGTTATTGTAGCTAGTCTTAAATTTGAGTTGGGAGGTGAGACTTCATTTTTAAATAATTAAATTGACTTGCTGTGTGTGTACCTTCAGTACTTTTTAAAATCAGAAAATATGTACACGTTTCCATACAGTTGTTTTTTTTTTAGGTTGCAATTTATCGAGTATCCTGTCATAATATTTTGAAGAATTTTTATCTGAATTTCATTTCTAATTCCTCTTTGCTTAGAAACTCCTGCACTTAAATCTGATAAGATAACAGTGACCAAGCAACAGAATGAAGCAGCAGGAACAGTCACGTATAAGTGTGGACAAATTGCAGATTTGGGGACACCACCAATCAACTTTTATTGGAAGGTACTGGCTCAACCTTTATTTATTTACAACAGCTGTAAAAGTGAACGAGTCCATCAGCCAAACTTTATGATGGCTTGTTTTATTCCATGAGCCGAAGAAGAGAGTCCCGACATCAGCGATCAGAGCAAGGGATTTTACTGGAGTAGATATCAATTTTTTTGGGTGGGGCTGCTGCTCGGGGTCCAAGAAATTTTTTTTATTAAAAAGAAAAAAATAATATTAAAATATATTTAACGAAAAGTGCCCAGTTTTTATTTATAAACAGAAATAATTTGGATTAGGTAAAAATTTTCTGGTTTTCTTTGTTGCAATTAAAAAAAATAAAAATATTAGTAAATCTGTTTTATAATTATACTATTGTACATTAAACTTTTAAAATAAATTGGGCCAGTCTTAATACAATTTTTTTTAGTGAAAACAAAGAATCGTTGAGCAATAAATTCACAAATAGTCACCTATAAAAGTTTCATCTTTGTGAGATGCTCAGAGTGGAGGACCATTTTCTTGTTGTGTTGCAGACCTAAAGATTGAGGAGCTATTTTAAGTTTTCGGGGTATAAATAAAAGCTTGCCCAGCACCTACACCAATATATAAATAATAAGAACATTCGGCATCACACCAGTCTTTTTTAAAACTGCCATCAACAAAGGGATGACTTCATAGCAAATACTGAGACAAAGACTTTCAAGACTAAAAACAATATTTGCAATGTTGTCAAAACAAATTTCCATTTATTTGGATCAATGAAAGCACCTTATCCTATCTTATCTTATCATATATTATCTTACATATAAGAGAAAGAATTGTTTCTCATTCCTACCTGCTTGAAAAGGGCATGAAGTATGAGAATACAAGATATTTTTTGTAGCAAAGTAGCGCATGTCCAATTTCTGAGTGGGGATCATTGCGTCATCATTTCACTACAATCAACATGGTTACATTTACAGGAAATATAATTCATCTCAAACCTTGTGACATTACCAAGCTCATTGTTTTTTGCTTTTTTTAAAATCATGGAATGAATAGGGATGGCGGAGTTTAATTAAAATATTATGAATATTATGTATTAAAAAAATGCTCTGTCTAAATGTAAGCCTAGAACAAACTCTTCTTGTATTCTTGTATAAAAAAACAACAAAAACAAAAACACCAAACACTATTTAGCCCCTTTTAGGCCACACTATTCTTAGTTCCACACAAAGAGGAACATGTAGTTTGAAAATATTAAAAGATTCAATGGCTGAAGCTTTACCAAATCATTATATCCACTTACTTCAAACCACTTATCCATTTGATTGGTTAGAGCAGGTGTCCTCAAAACCACAGACAAGAGTCACAAGACCCACTTTCCAGAATCCTTAACCCTGGCGGTGGTAAGGATAATTTGGTAGTGACATATATGGAACACGATTCAAAACTGCACTCAAAACGCATCTCTTGAACTCTACTATCCTGACTGATTCCCCCCCTCTGACCGATAAATGATGCAGCTGGGTGCCATCCATGGCGTGACATGTAAATAGTTATGGAATGGGTGGACTGAATATACATTTTTTTGTTGTTTTATTTAATTAATGTATGTTAATTTTCAAGTTCATGATTATGCGTATTCAATTGTATGTACAGTGTGGTGAGCCCACCCCTAGGCCGGGGTACTGCGCTATATAAAACTACTACTAATAATAATAATGTACTAACTTAAAATTCTTAAAACTTCCTCATGCAACAACAAGTGAACTATCTGATTGAAATAGAATCCTAGCATGATTGATTGAACAGTCCTATATTTAACTTCCTGATGGGGAGATAGATTAGTACACCACACTTTACTGCATACATATATCTATAATATGTATAATTTTGCGGTTAGGTTCTGTTTTCACACCGTCATGCTCTTGAGCTTGGCTTTAAGAAAATTAAGCTCGTCATCAAGTGCTTATTTGTATGTGGATGATTGTCAATGTGTTTAACTGAACAAACCATTGATGCAGCAGGCCCAGCACACACACATTGTCTATGGACTTTGAGCTGTCAATTATCAAATTAACAGCAAAACGATTAACAATTTAAGGAAGAGGCCTGCAACAATGAAATTTGGGATTGGCCAGGGGGGGGGGGGGGGGGGTAGTTTTGGGCTAGTTTTGGGCATGTGAGTAATCATGTAATATATAGGCTTGGTTTGGCTTCCTTCCTTTCCGTTTGTTCACTGGTGAGTCAGGAAATAAAAGTCTAGACGACTGATGTATAGAGATTCATGTTGTACATTAAGCACCAACTCCGTACTTCAATACACCATCTACCTCCACTGCCTTGAAACACCAGCCCCCCAACCCCCACCCATGGTACACCAACTCCCCATCTTCATCCACAGTATCCTCCCCGACCTTGAGCCCCCTCGTCTTTCCACCTTGATCCTTCATTTCCCTGCCCCTTCTTGATCCCCCATCTCCTCCCCATCTTGATCCACTTTATCCTCCCCATCTTGATCCACTTTATCCTCCCCACCATGATCCACCATCTCCGCCTCTATCTTGATCCACCATCACCTCCTCCATCTTGATCCACCATCTCCTCCCACAACCTTGATCCCCCCTGTCTGTCCACCTTGATCGGGAACACACCCCCCCACTTTTTTTTTCAATGCTTAGAACCTGTTAAGTATTTAAAAGGCCATGATTAAAATATTCGATGCTCATGACACCATGACATAGAATCTGCACTTTACATTTTATTCTCAGCGGTTTATGCATTTAGAGTTCAACATAATTTATCAGTATGCAACTCAACAAAGTCAGAAGCATTTATTGGAAGAGAGGTTGCAGGGGTGGTGGTGGTTGGGAACTTTGTTCCCTACTTGATTGTGGACAGCAGTTGCAATAAAATTGGTGCGTTTCTTCAATGATGATTATCAGATAGATTTAGCGATCACCTTTGCATAAACGAACAAAGCAAACAATGTCCCGTTTCATTTGAATTCAATAAAAACAACCTCAGAGGCCCCATTGCTGTACACATTAGGGCTATTTTATCATACACAACAACTTTGGTTTTAATAAACCGCTTTTGGACAATTTTATGACATGTTACAAACATAAATTTAAAAAAAAATAATTTTTTTTTGTGTGGTAAAACACTCGCCTTCCACTTCTCATGTTTACATGCAGTCCGCTTGTACTTTTTTGTCTCCTTACCTGTATTTCTTTGTTTCTGAGACTGAGAGATGGATGCTGGGTTTCTTGAATGTTTCTTTTATCATGGCATCATATCATTAGTTCTGTTGCTGGAAGAGAAAGGCTTTGGTGGACACATTCATTTTGGGCTTTCGTTTCAGCAGGTTTTAACTTACCCAGTGTTTCATGCTTCTTTATATTAACAGCTGGATCCCCGTTTTTCCCCAATATCATTCCTTTAAAAATAATAGCATAAAGTGTAATATTGGGCTCACAATGATTTATTTCATTAGCCATTATTTTTTGCTTTATGCATTTATTATAATGCCTAGAGCCAAATGGAGATGTTGATTTCTTAAATTGAATTTATATCTTTCAGTCAGTCAAGAATGGTTCCATTTTACCTGCTGAGTACAAAGATGGCTTCCTGACTATCACCCTGCCAGAAAGTGAAGGTATTCTATTAGGTTACCATGTTTTATCAATATCCGTAGCCTGGTCTGGAAAAAATGACTCTTAGGAGATCTATGCTTGTTAGCAGATCCATACTTGTTTGTTAATAGAAAACCTCTACAGGCCATAATTTAATGATGTGTTAAGGTATGTGCTCTTTGAGAATTTAAAAAAACAAAACGAATAAAGATAACATCAGTTTGAGTAACAACCTTTTATCATTTATAACTAAAAAAAAGTTTATAAATTATTGTTTGAAAAATTTTTTTATTTGTTAAGCATTGGTTTTTCAACTGGTATGTTCTAATACTAATAATGTCCTGATATCACAGCCTCTGATATTACATCCTATTTGTAATTAGTTACAGTGTGTTGTAAGATTTGAAAAAATTGAAAACTGTTTAGACAAATCCATAGTAAAGTCTTTGTTTTTTTTTGTTTTTTTAATGTCCATAGAAATAACTTGTGAAATAGACAAGAACTCACCAGCTGCAAAATGTATTCCTGAAGCAGAAATGGGGAGATGGGACGGAACCAGCGTAGGGCAATCTAGTTCCAGCTCAGGTACATATTTTCTTAATGGGGTTTTTAAATGTCTTGGTGAATGAAACTCGGAAACTGCGAGTAGCGTACATGAGTTTATGCATGTTATTTTATGTGTTGACCACAAAACATATATGCTTATAAGATATGTTTTTGACATCTTAGGATTATCTAGCAGTATAACGGGCGCGTCATAACAGGGCTCCGTTGTATGTAATTAGTATGTTTGTACGACTCATTGTCATCTAGTTTCTAACTTCTTAACTTCTATGTGTCATTAACAGATTTGTATAGCGTAATCAGTATTTTTTTTAATGCAGCCAGCGTCTCTCCTCTCAGTTAAAAAATGTATTTTAAACCGACTCCCCAGAAGTAGAGCTATGCTTGTTAGTAGATCTATGCTTGTTAGTAGATCTATGCTTGTTAGCAGATCTATGGTTGTTAGGAGATCTATGCTTGTTAGCAGATCTATGCTTGATAGCAGATCTATGCTTGTTAGGAGGTCTATGGTTGTTAGCAGATCTATGCTTGTTAGGAGATCTATGCTTGATAGGAGATCTATTCTTGATAGGAGATACATGCTTGATAGGAGATCTATGCTTGATAGGAGATATATGCTTGATAGGAGATCTATGCTTTTTAGGAGATCTACGCTTGTTAGCAGATCTATGCTTGTTAGGAGATCTATGCTTGATAGGAGATCTATGCTTTTTAGGAGATCTATGCTTTTTAGGAGATCTACGCTTGATAGGAGATCTATGCTTGATAGGAGATCTATGGTTGTTAGGAGATCTATGGTTGTTAGGAGATCTATGCTTGTTAGGAGATCTATGCTTGATAGGAGATCTATGCTTGATAGGAGATCTATGCTTTTTAGGAGATCTTTGCTTGATAGGAGATTTATGCTTGATAGGAGATCTATGCTTGTTAGCAGATCTATGTTTGTTAGCAGATCTATGCTTGTTAGTAGATCTATGCTTGTTAGTAGATCTATGCTTGTTAGTAGAGCTATGCTTGTTAGTAGATCAATACTTTCTCCCTATTAATTGGGATCAATAAAAGTATCTTTTCTCATCTCATACGTGGAATATTATGTTAAAAAAAAAATCAAGAGGCTACGCGAAGAGATCTAATGAATATATCTGAGATTACTCTTTAATATGTTACCTATGTTTAGGTCAAGAAAATCATTGGTGAGTCACAGGAAGTGGTAGTTTTATCCGGATCAAAATGTTTGCAAAAATGCTGTTAATGCTTGTTATTTTTTAAAATCAGCCCAGGTATGGGCAAAAATTTGCATTTGTCATGTCACTTTTGAAAAAAAAAGTAGAAATTGCATGTAATTTGTTTGAAATGCCGGCTGATGCCCGACAAACAATGATGGCAGGCACAATGCATGAAATTATCATCTGCTAATGTTACCTGACAAAACATGGATTCCAGTACCGCACTTTATACGATTCCTAATTAGTGCCCCCTGAACTATATTAACATTCTAATGTCCCACCTCCTTTTACATGGCAGATTTAGTACACCAATTTCTGTAAAACAAAAGAAAATATTACCCATCAAACACACTTGCTGTATTTTTGAGAATCCCATTTGGCATTTCGTACTGTTATCAGGAATTTTAGTTTGTGAACTCGGCACCATCTGGTGGCCTAACATAGAGAATTATGTTTTTTGTGAAACAGATTTTCATGCTTTTTATTTATTTATTTTTTAATTACAAAATTTGAAACCACTTGACTGCACTCAGTTCAACAGCTTAACTTTGAATCCTATCTTTTTACAGCTGATACAAAGTATATCATCATTGGAAGTGTTGCTGCAGGCATTGTGGTTGGTGTTATAATAATCATCATCCTCGTCGTACTGATTATAAAGAGAAAAAAGGGAGAGAACTACAATGCGTAAGTTTATACAAGTATATGTAGTAATTTTTAAAAAAAAAGAAAGATGTGGGGGTGATATTGAGCATCATACACACCACAGTGACACATCAATCAGCTTAACACACACCGATAGGATTTTTTTGACTCGGGTGAACAAAAAAATGTCTTTTTAAAAAACCAACATGCCGTAAATGAAAGGTACCAGTAAACATGTTTTCATTTCCTGGATCAAAGTTTAAAGAACTTCTGTCTGACCTAAACAGGGGCAGTGACAATTTGTTTCCGTCATTTCATCTTATACTTTTGAAATATTTGAACTGCATAAAATGTTCAGGCGGTGTCAAATTGCTTTTGCTTTTTTTTTGTGTTAAATTAAAAGTTCCATCGCAATAAAGCTATAAAGTTTTTCATAGATCTCACAATGCCGGTACTCTTGTATTCATGAGGATTCTTGTGCAGGTGCAAACGGGTTGCAGTGGTGCCATAGCACACACAATGTTTAGATTCAGCAAAGCTGCAAACAGTTACAATAAGGGCTTTGGAGAAATTTCTCATGATAATAAAAAGGGGGTTCTCAAATGAAACACAGACACTGCCGCTACCGGTGTTACCTACTGTTGTTGTTATCTGCAGGAAAAAAGAAGAAGCCAAAGTTGAGGCACGAAGTGAGACGAACATTCCCCTGGTGGACAGATCTTTTGATGAGAATGATTCGGCCAGGCAGCCCAAAGGTGGATCAAGGACTCCTATATACAGAGGACCCTCAGAGTCACCAAGCCCAAGGACAGTCTCCAGATCTAAAGGTGAGCGAGTGCTAAAGCTTTCTTTACAGAATGATAAATTATTATTTAAAAAAAATATTTTTATTAAATTAGCTTTTAACAATATATCCACATGTAGCACAGAGTGCACCAAAAAAAAAAAGTACTTTTCATTCACATGACTTCTCACTATGGTACAGTAAAGAGAAAAAAATGGTTTATAAGACGTAAACTCAATAAATTTGTGAAGTCATATCAAAGTGATACAACTTTATTAATTTAAATACAGGAATCTGTATTACTATAGCTTGTTTAATTAACTGCTGATTTGTCTATAATTACATGTAAATTGCTATCAAATTTATCACCTGAGTCCATCTTTTCAAAATTACTATTGATAAGTTTTAAAAAATCTCAAAATTTGATGAAAATCAGACTAAAAAGAAGCTATTTTCAGCAAAAAGTTGTAATTCTTCCATTGGGGAAGGATGTAAACATGTTCGCGCGCAACTATATGGAGATTATTAATTTTTCTTGTTTGCCATGTTAAAAACAACATGCAAGTTGGTGTCATGTAGATAAAAAGGTTAAAATCGGTGGACGCCAATAGTCGTTGTGTGGATATAAATTTTAAGACTTAGTGTCAAATTTTTTTATGTTCTGCTGTAGATGTACACTCCAGATGCAGCCAAAAAATGCACCTTTAAATTTCATGTTTGGATTTTTGTCTTCACCGTGTGCCTTAGCTGTTTACAATTGTTGCAGAAATGGCATGTCATAATTGGATCCATCTGTCAAGCTTATCTCAGCTATGGTTTTTACATTTTGTAACTTTGGTTTTTACATTTTGTAACTTCCGTTTTTACATTTTGTAACTTTGGTTTTTACATTTTGTAACTTCCGTTTTTACATTTTGTAACTTTGGTTTTTACATTTTGTAACTTCTGTTTTTACATTTTGTAACTTTGGTTTTTACATTTTGTAACTTTGTTTTGAGACTTCTTAAGGTTTATTGTTTGTTTCATATTCCTGAAGCCAACAACAATTCGAGGATACAGCAAGCTTCAGATGATGACTATGAGGAATACAATGCAAACGGCAAGCCTCCACCAGTGGCTCCCAAGTACAGGAAGAAAAATGAAGTTAGAGATGACGGGGATGGAGAGGAGATCCGGCCGCCGAAGGTCAAACCCAGGAGTATATTCCTCACCCCAAGCATGGAAGAGTTGGACAAGATCAATACGGCCGTGCAGGGAGGCAAGGGCAGCGAGCCTAGGGATGCCGCACGAAGGGGCAGTGAACCAAGGGAAACTGCACGAAGGGGCAGTGAACCAAGGGAGACTGCACGAAGGGGCGCTGAACCATGGGGAAGTGAACCAAGGGATACAGCACGGCGGGGCACAGAACCAAGGGGTATGGAACCTAAGGGCCCTGCACCGAGGGGCACATTAGTTTAATTTTGTTTTTATTGATAATGAAATCTACTGTGTAAGTAAGGTGTGTAAACTTTGCCATAAACGTATAAAGTGTTGTGCTCAGCTTTGCAGCTACATCTCCTATCTGGCTTTATCTGTGTTAGCTGTTCTTATCTGTTCAATAAGAGATTTTTCTATTGCCTTTTTTGGTGTAATCTAAATGTAAAACGTGAGGAGTGATTCAAAAACTCAAGTTAGGAAACATTAAAATAATTTGCCACGATCAGATTAAATGACAAGCCCAGCCGGGTGAACAAAATTTGCGATTCTCAATGCAGACAAACCAACATCATTTGGACTGATGTTGAAACGACTTATCTTTAACTCTCTTTAACGAGCAGTTTTCTTGTTTATTTTTGTTTGTTTGTTATTGTTTGTGTTTAAAGCTCTGGGTCATTGACTTTTGTGATGTCACTTCAGATTAACTAACTGTGCCCGATTGTGTTAATGTTTTTGCTCAGTAGTTATAGCAGAACTATACAAGAACTGTTCAATATATACACCTAGATATTATGTTTTGTTAAAAGGTTGATTTTTATGAGGAGATAATTATTTTATTTTTTCAATTTAACAAAGGTACTTGAAGATGCTGTGTCTGACCATTTGCAATGGATTGAAGCTAATTTTGATGAACATACATTGTTAACAGATCGCATTGTTGTTTTTGTTTTGGACATTTTTAGCCTAAGCATGATTTTTTTTCCCTCCTCAACATTCCACACCTGCTCACTAGTCTCTTTATAGTTTATGTACACATCCAACTTATTATCTCTTTTTACATCTGCCTTGAATCATATCCAATTATATGCCTTATATCCCGTCTGTAATAGCCCATTTTATTTTTTCGTCAAAATCATTGTAAATATTTTCATCACAACTTTTTTTTTTTCTATTAATTCAGTCAACATGAAAGTTTCTTATATAATGTAATTGCATTAGTTGAAATTTTCTGATGATATATGTACAACCTATTGCTTGAAATACACCAGCATGGACACATTTTTTTTTTTATTCAAGTCTTTTTACTTCTGATGAATAAAATATTAAATGGTTTCTGAATGTGGCCTCTTATCAATTAATGGTATTTTTCTTCTTGAGTATCAGTCACTCAAATGGATAAATAAATCATGTTCTGTAAAAAAAAAATTGTAAATTTTTAAAAATTTTCTTGTACATATTTTGCCAAAATATATTTTGCTTTTATCTTGTTACATGAGCAGTGATTGTGTAAATATGTTATTTAATCAGTAATAGAATGCTCAGAATAATTAGTTATCCACGTTGATGTAAATGTTCTTGTGTAAATATTAAAATGATTATTTGATCCGAAACTAACTCAAGGGATCTCAAACTGTTCACACGAGAGGGATTAACAATTTAAAAAGAAAAAGAAACGATTTTAATTTAAGTACATGATCTTTAAGATTTTTACAGTACTGGTATAAAGTAAATACTGTAAAAAAAGTGACTCTATTTAAATAATAGTGCTAGAGGCAGTATCCAGACTTTCATACTGATTGTACCACTGAGTAGGTCTCAAGATTTTTTATTTCAGTTCTGATTATATTTCTGCCCCTCTGTAGTTTGTGTTCCTTAGTCTTTAATTTTTAATTGAATATTTCTTTCAGAGTTCTAGGTTACCAATACTACAATTTGGATCAAATATTGTATAAATTGCAGCTGGTTCAACTTTTTTTTTGAAGATTAAACATTTTCGCCTGTCTGTACAAACAGTGATGTCAACATTTCATATTACTGGTGACGAATGCTTTAATCATATGAATCTCTTGAGCTGTAAAACAAAGGGGGTTTCAAGTTTTAGTTTGGTCTTTGAGTCCGCTGTAACCACTTGACCAGTCTTTTGAGTCCGCTGTAACCATTTGACCAGTCTTTTGCGTCCGCTGTAACCATTTGACCAGTCTTCTGAGTCAGCTTTAACAATTTGACCAGTCTTTGAGTTTGCTGTAACCACATGACCAGTCTTTGAGTCCGCTGTAACCACTTGACCAGTCTGTTGAGTCTGCTATAACCATTTGACCAGTCTTCTGAGTCAGCTTTAACCACTTGACCAGTCTTTTGAGTCATCTTTAACCATTTGACCAGTCTTTGAGTCCGCTGTAACCATCTGACCAGTCTTTGGAGTCCCTTGTAACTGTTTAAGTTTAACCTCCAAATATTAGAATTATTTTTAAATCAAAGTCAAAGGATTTTATTAAAGTTTTATAACTTGATTATTTGTTGGGCCACGTAAATACACCGCTTAGCCACTTATTCAATTTACACTGAGTTTACTCAACTTTAAAAGGTGAACAGGAAGAATAGTTTTTTCTTCTGATATGATGTTTCTAAAGACATATTTTTTTAACTTCTGTTTTTTATAAAATATTTTCTGTTGAGCCTGTAGCTCTGCTAATTTCAGAATTGACTTTTTCTATCTTAAAATCTGTCGGCTCCAACATCAGACCATAAATTTGTGATGAAGATAACAATTTCTGTAGATGAATAACAAGTGACACTAGGAAGACTGTTTAACACTATACATGAATCAATAATTTTTTTTAGATTCTCCAAGAGTAATAACTATCCTATTTTTAATCTTTACTTTTTAAACTCTCTTGTTTATATTATATCAAAATACATAACCTTTACATCTTTTTAAATCCTATTGATTTGCATACTCTTCTCCCCCTCATATTGGGACTGCTGAGTAACACAGAATGGTTGTCCAGATTTAGTTTGGCGTCATCTTGTGATGCTAAGCACTTGATGTTAGCATGTTTAGTAGGATATTTTTTTTTGGCAGCCTCCCCCATGAAATGTGCGTGAGCCTCTGCTGTCTGAGGCTGGCCACCCCCTCCCCCCTCCCTCCCGCCCTCTTCTCTCTCTGCTGTCTTAGCTTCACACAAGCAAATTGGCATCTTTTGAAAGCAGCCTCATTTGGGCTGATCAACTTTAGTGTCCCTTAAAATTAAATTCCGTATCTTTAAATTCAATTCAAATTCAACCACGGCGTGGTGTAGTCATTATATAAAATAAATATTGTGGTCAGAATTCTTAGTTTGTTAGTTTAAGAGTGTGGATTTTTTCTCTGTAATTAAGTGGTGTGTGTGTAATTATTTGTGAGTGTAAAAAGTGTGAAATTATTACCCTTCACTTTTAATACTGGCGGTAACCATATGGTGTACAAGAGCTTAGAGTGTTTAAAGGTTTTCAAATTCTATCCAATTTTTCTGGATTAAATTATTAGAAATGATTGAGGAGAATAATAAAATGATCTATTTTTTGCATTTATACAGACTTTGACATCTGTGGAGATATAATTATGAAACTATGTGAATTTCTCTTGTTGTGAAGTTGTGCTGCTTAAAAAAGTCGTTGAGATTTTTTTTTTCTATGCCGAACATTTAAAATTTTTATTTTGAGGGTATATGCAACCCTGTCATTATCGTGGCTGTTCACAGTAGAGATTATGTCCCCAGGCCAACAGTGATATATCACCTGATGTATTATAGGACATGTTGATACCCGCACCTTGTTGAGCAGGGGCAGTGAGGCAGACTGGCTCTGTGCTACAATATCCTGTCAATGGGACAGATCACCAACGCATGCAATGTGAATATATTCTTGCTCTTTTTAGTAGCTTCTATTTGGCTGTGTGTTAAAAATGGTTCAGAGTAACACTGAACGATGGATCTACCCTGAAGGCATTCTCAGGACTATCGACACATGCAAATCCATTTATCCTGTTTAAAGAATTTAACTTCTTGAGAATGAACGATTTATTTTGTGTAATAATGTAGAACTGTCAAAGATTTATGAAAAGAATAACCTTTGGGGAGAGGCTGGTAAAATACTCATTTAAAAAAAAAAAAAAAGGGGGGAAACAATTCTGAATTCTCTTAAAGGGTCCAACCCCTGATTGCTACTTATTTGTGAGATATGGAGAGGACTGGTTTACTTATTTGTGAGACATTTAAACTAGTAGCGGTACATGAAAACAACTTTGTTTAAACTTTTATAATTAGGTCATAACTTGAAAAATTCAAAAATGTCCTCCACTTTTTCCTTCTATTTTGTCTAATTATTGACATATATTGTGTGTGTTAAAAATGCATTTTCCCAACCTGTGTTGTCAATTGTCACAGATAAATTTGACGACCTGTCAAATTTTGATGGATCAAACATCAAGCTTTAGTTAACAGCTGTGTATCAAATGTAAACACACCAAAACTTGGAAGTTGGATTGAGATAACGTGAAAGAAGTTGAAACAGTGAGATTTGTACATGACGAGCATAAATAAATACATTTTTTGTTACAGTCCCAAAATTGAAATTTCGATAAGATACCTTTGAAAATATGTCAAATTGAACTAAGTTGACTTTGCTAGGTTGTGAGTGATCTAATGACCACTCACACAGAAAAAGAAAGTTGTGGTAACACTTTGAAAAAAATAGGTCAAAGAGAGGCTCTCAAACTGAGTGGATTGAGATTAAAAAATTGTTAAAAAACGTAACAGGGGAAAAAAACAAACTTTTCAGAATTTTTTGTACTTAAATTAAATTTGTTAAAACTTTTGTTTTTAACTTTTGTTTATTAATTCAATCTTGATCATTTCAAAGTAAAATAATAATCCATGGTAAGAAAAAATTATGTCAAAAGAACATTTGTGAAAAACATAGTTTTTTCTGATCTGCATAGGTTGCATTTAGATAAGAAATCAAAACTTGTTTATCAATATGTAAGTAATTATGATGCTACATTAACTAACTCTAAATAAAACTATATGTGTCCAATGTGCAAAAGTAATTTTGTTTAAAAACTAAATGTATGAAATTATTTGAAATAAAACTGTAAATAGATATATTTTATAAATGTTTTTTTTTTTTAAAAACTGTACTAAGAACCTTGTCAGTGCTTTTGTTCTATTAATACAATGCTATCCAAGAGAAATTGTTGAAATCAGGGAATCCCACAGAGGCATATAACTGGTCTGTAGGTGGGCTTGAAAAGTTATATCTTACTATTATGTGACTAAATTATTCTGGTTAGCCTGAAAAGTTAAAATTTATGTGACTAAATTATTCTGGTTGGCCTGAAAAGTTAAATCTATGTGACTAAATCATTCTAGTTGGCCTGAAAAGTTAAAATCTATGTGACTAAATTATTCTGGTTGGCCTGAAAAGTTAAATACATGGGACTAAATGTATTGTATTAAACAAGAATTTAACTAAAAAATGGTGTACTGTAACAAATTCTGGGAGCCACTGGTTTAAAACATTACACAGTTAAAAGCAGAATGTTTTAAAATTATATAAGATTAACATTTCTTTTGCTCACTGTTGAATATTTTTTCAGTACGGTAACAAGGTTTGACACGAATGTCTCCAGGCGGGATTGATAATTCTTAATTATGTTAAAAGTTTTTCTTTTTTTGCCTCCTATGTATAACATAACTAAGATTGTTATCCAATTTTTGTTTTTATTGCCCTTATCAATGCTTGCATGCAGTGAGGATTAAATTGAATTTTTTGTTCTATTAGATAGAAGGCTTTAAAACTAATGCCATAAAATGGTGATGCTTTTGATATGTGTATTTGTTGTGCCTGAAATTTAATTCCAGCCATACATTTTTACACGTGGAAATTTTAATGTATCGAGTAAAAATTCAAATCCTAATAATGCTAATTGTGTTTGTGGTTGTTCATAAATTCTTGTGTTAATTAATCATACCATGTACGCTTCTGGTTAGTAACAAGATGGCCAACCCAAAAATGTGTGTGTGTACCGAAATCGATGAATAACGGGGAAAGGGTTGAAGCGATGTAAATATATAAAATCAATGTGGGGAAGCTCGGGTAAGACTATGGAAGTAAACCCAAACTGTGAAATCTGGAGATGGAGTTTCAAAGTTGATCTGATGCTGACATCGATGCCATTTGGGTAACTCATAGGACGCAGTTAGTGGCAAGTTGTATTGATAGTTGTCATTCCCTTGAATCCACTGGCTAAAACGAGAGTGGGGATCTGCTGCTTTGGGCAACAGCTGGTCTTCATAAAACACTGCCCTGGCTATTGACGATACTTGGTGAGGAGCAGAGCTTTGTTGTTAGCAAGGGAAGGAAAGCCCTTGCAACAAGAAAGAGCGTTAATAAAGTGTCAATAGCTACTCCATCTTCTTGCTAAGATGGATCGTTTTTTAATGTGGAAATTTAATTGTATCAAAAATTCATATCCTAATAGTTCTAATAGCATTAGTGGTTGTTCATAAATAGTATGATTAATTAATGTGAGTTGTAACCCTTTGTATGTTGATCAGCTTCGTCCCAACCGAAAGACTCCCTGGTCGGTGGGGGGTGGTAACGCCACACCATTTCCCCCGGAGTGGAAGCTAACCCGCCCAAACGAAATGGGAGAGTCGGCTGCGAACGCTTTAAACGCAGCGTTTTCAGTTGACAGGATGTCACCCGGGACAGGGGGAGGTTCCTGGCGTGCTGCTGCGGGGAAACCCGGCGCCTGGCCCGTGTGGAGATGTGCGGGGCAGGGGGGCATTTAGAGCTCGCACTCGACAGTTCACCGATGCCATTTCCCAATGTGATGTATGTTGATCAGAATGGCATGTAAGATACATAGTTTGGTTTTTTTAGGCATGAGGGTTACAAGTTTATGTATTGGCATTGGGTGGAATTTATGAACTCGAAATCTTGGACATAAGACTTAAGATGGCAAAACTGGTACAATTTGATATAAAAGTTCTCATTTTATTAAGATTGCCACAAGGTTATGTTAAGTTCTTGTATATTATTAAGACTTGTAAAAGTTAACATGAAGTTTTTTTACATTTATTAAAACTGATGCAAGTTAACACGGCTCTTGTCATAAAGACTGGAACAAGTTAGCATAAAGCTCTTACATTTAAATTATATTAATTTATATTTGATAAAACTGCATAAATTGACATCAAATCCTTATGCCATAAAGACTGGTACAAGTACAAGCTGACATGAAGTTTCTTAAGTCAGGTTATATTTTCACTGGATTTTGTTAAAGAAGTGATACATCAAGTTCTTGGAATGAAATCTGACTGTGCTATTACCAAGCGTTACGGCTGATTTCCTGTCTCTCTCTCTCCTAATCCTCCGAAAGTCATCCCAACAAATGAGTGGGCCGTTGAGTCATGTTAAACAATAAGCAGAACATACTAACCGCCAGATCAACAGAGCTTGGAAATACTGTACTATCTTAGAACTTATTTTTGAACTATTTATGATATCACTGGACTTGTTGGCTCTGCCAAATTTTTTTCCAGAGAATTTTGGGTATATTTTAATATTCATCATTGAAGATGGGCTTCGACGAGTAACTCCCAGTTCAGCTCCCAAATAAGCAATGTAATCGTTTAAAAATTTTCTGTGATATTATTATTACAGATTACAGGTTGACAATTTTGCTTTGCATTATAAATTTTCAAGGTTTCTAAAGTTGATCATTTGAAAATTTGTATATTTTGTGAAAACATTAATCCAGTTCCCAGAATGTCTTGCAGGCAGCATTTTATGTCAACAGGCTGCATGTTGCCCACTCTTGTCCTAATCTCTTTGAGATAAAATCAAAACAGCACAAACTTCCTTCATACCATGTTAAAAGCAAAGATTACAGTCACTGGGGTCATATAATATTGTATTGATTTAAATTAGCACACATGTTTTACAATAACATATTTTAATTCTAATATCACAAGATTAAATATGCATACTTTTTTTTGCATTTAACTTGAGATTAACTTGATATTAAAGAACACAAAACTTGATATTAAAGAACACAGAACTGCATCTTACAAAAAATATATCTCAAGGGAAATGACAAAGAATTAAATTTTTTTGTATCGCCAGTGCCAGTACTGATGAGCGGGTAAAATATTTTTTTAAAAGTCAAAAGACTGAAATTCTGGGGACCATTGAACTCGTCAAGACTATTTAGTGCTTTACACCCTGTTCTATAATACATGAGTTGTTACTTTAGTTAGACACTACCGGTGCTTCTGTAACTCTCTTGAATGTGTAACTGTAAGGTAGGTTTTTTCACAATTTTACTGATGGCTTCATGACTATATGGTGGTGAGTTGAATTTTTTTGTGTGGGTTTCTAGTGTTTTATTCTTTATTTCTTTCCTTGCTTCAAAAAAGAGGTATACAATACTGCAGAGATGCTGCAATATTTTAAGACTCCCTGTGAGAGATGACACATGCATCACTATAAATGACATCCTAGAGGTTAGGATGCCATCGATAAGATTACTGGAGTATTTGCATTATAAAGGTAGGATAACAGTAGTAAAATTTAAAAAAAAATATAATTGCATCCATTTTTATGAATTATGTCAAAGATTTTCATAATTCATATGTAAAATAGAAGTATAAGTGAGTAAGTAAATGAAACTGAATAATATGGAAAGCAAAAAAACTCCTTCCAGTCACACAAGAAGATAAAACTTACAATGAGAACAACTACATACACGATGCTTAGAAACTTTTACACTCCACAGCAACAGCTTGTTAAAAATTTGCAAGCACAGATATTTAAGTTTTATTAAAATATGTAAGACATAATGTAGCTTAAGTTAAAGTTTAAAAAAAAAGTATTAAATACATTAATGGTTGTCATAAAAAATGTTATGAAAGGAATGTTTGACAAATACACTGATAAAGTTTACAATTAAGATTTGGCACATACAAAAAACAGAGTGCCACTCTGGCATAACATGTATGAAATTCACCGGATCAAGTTTAAGTATTCTGGGAATCTGTGCCACTTGGTCAGTTAGTGGTTGGAAGCATTAAAAAAAGACACCCATAATAAAATAAAGACCAAGGCCCCGCTAATTAACACTGACTTTATTCCAACCCTTGCTAACCATCAAAGCCTGGGCTCTCGAGAAAACTCTTGAGAAAAAAAAAAAAAAAAGAGAAAAAAAGACCCCCCACATTCCTAACTAAGAAATAAGACAAATGATTGAAGCCAAAACCTAGCAGCCAGAAATTCAACTGGTTTTGCCATCTGGTCAGACTTCCTAAAAATCAACCTGCACTGTAAGCCTACACTAGCAGTGATTCCGGAGGAAGGCCACGATGGTGGTGGACTGACAGAGTTAAGGATTACCTCAAATTCAACAAAGCGAGTCTTCAGCAGTCCTCCCACCTCACAAACTATCACTGAGACGCCTCCCCCGTAGAAACAAACAGGAAAAAAGAGAAAAAGTACTATTAAGAAGTTCCGAATATGACCCCATTTTGTAAAGCACTAACACTTCAATAGTGATAATTGATTGTCAACCAGTCTGCCTGTGATACATTCTGCAATGTTATAGTGTCTTCCTGTAGGCGCAATTAGAGTTATAGCAAGGAGAGCTTAATTGGCTGAAATGTTGTATTTGCAGATTGTTGATAAGCTGATATTACATTCCATATGTATGTTTTCAAATCAATTTTAAATTTGTAAAAATTTACTACAGGATTGAAACATACTACTTTGTTATTTAAAAATAATTTTAAAAGTTTCTTGTAGGCACACTATTTTAAAAAAAATCCAACATTCGTTTCCTCCACAAGCATCAGGTAAAAATTTTAAGTCAATAAATAATACATAAAAATAGTTTTTGTGAATTTTCTGTACAGGATTCAGTTCCAACGATTTGGTAGCGACAAACTGATATCCTTAAGGCTGGTACAAAATATATCAATACTGTTCCACAGAAACAAAAACTTATTATCACAATAACTTTTAGAATGCATCACTTTCAGCTCCACATCAAGGTTTTGATGTTTCAGTTTCAACTTTCTCTCAATTTAGAGAACCATCTCTAATACGCAGTATATCACCATCTGTTATCCCCTGGTGAGACAAGGTCTTCCTATTAGGCAAAGGTACATTACCATTGTGTCGATAGATCAAGATCCTCTCTGCTGGAATACTAAATCTCATCTGAAGGTCACTTAAGAAATCAGTTACCTGTAAAAAGAAAAAATATATATGCAATAAAAAATAGTTCTCATCAAGTTGAAATCACCAAAAGCAAGATGAAATCAGCAAAAGTACAATGAAATTACAAAAAGCATGATGAAATCCCGATAAGCAAGATGAAATCAGCAAAAATAAAATGAAATTACCAAAAGCATGATGAAATCACCAAAAGTAAGATGAAATCACCAAAAGCAACATGACATCATCAAAAGCAAGATGACATCATCAAAAGCAAGATGACATCCCCAAAAGCAAGATGACATCACCAAAAGTAAGATGACATCACCAAAAGCAAGAAGACATCTACGCCTTGAGAAAATTTTTTTTTAGAAGGCCATCAACAGCTTAGGTGAAATAGAAAAAGATTTCAGTTTTGAAAATGTAACTGTTATTAAAAATGAGTGGGCAAACAAAACAACAATCATGTGTTGGGCATTAGTGCATGGCTATAGTGTAGGACCAGAGCACTGAGAAGTCCTGTATGAAAACAACTTAGAATAACTTTATCAGTGGTCACAAAAATGGGGGTAAAAAAACCCCAAGGGGAATAAAATTGAAAATCTTCTCCTGAAATTACACTCCATAAATATTTTTGAAAAACTTGCACAAAATTTTGTCAGATTAGAGAAGAGAAACTTTGGCC